AACATTTTGAATAGATTGCCATTAATAAAAATAAATTAGAACATTTTGAATAGATTGCCATTAATAGAAAGCATTTAGGTCTATCAAATATAAACATTAGCTTTATAATATTTTTTAAAACAAGTGGATTTTAGATAATAAAACTCTATGTACACATATACATTGGTTTTCCCAAAAATGAAAGAGAACAGACTGGGAGACGTCAGCAGACGGGGAGATTCATCCATCCCTAGACACACATTATAATGGTCTAATGGATAACTTTGGTAACTGTAGTAAAAGAATTGAACTCAAAATATGATTGTTCTGAACACAATATATACTTAAATTTTTCAGTGAGAAAAGGACCTGTGTAACCCAACAGACTGGTGCTGCAGCATATTCTGCAATTAGTATGTAAGTAGAATAAGGCAGTAATGGCTCAGTATAATTACCATCAAATTGCACCTAAGTAAATTATTGATGAAGTTGATGGTTATGTTGAATTGTCAGTGGTCTCTAACAATGCTAACTGGCACAACTGTGGTATTTCAAAGACTCAAACAATTAGGTGTACATAAATCTTGAACCACACACACAGAATGCTTTGGCAGGACAAAGGAATATTTTCCTGACTATTTGGCAACAGCTAGAAAGGACCCAAACCACAGTGAATATGTATGTAATTAAACATATTATAGCTTTAAAGCAAACAGATACTATAATCTGCTATTGTGATTTGAACAGTTTATCATCAGTGGATTCATATGTTTATATTTTGCTTCAATATTCACATAGATGGCAAGACAGTTGCCGGGTTTTATCACTATTCTGTGAAACACACTGCCCTCTTTCATGAGATCTTCTATCTTCTTATCTGTTGACATGCTTATTTTCTTTTCTCCTGTATAGTCTGGGTCTTCTGGATATAACTCATCTCCTGGGGGCACACAAAAAAATGTTGAAGTTACACATTGCCTGCCTCATTTTTCAGCCTTTTGATGGAGTGACACTAGCAATTTCTTCATACTTATCAGGACATGAAAATCAGTGGGAATGTATTTCGCAATGCAAAAATAAATTGCCTCTAAACATCTTCAGATTTAAAGATATAGCCATAAATTTTGGTCAGTGACACTGCAATGTGTGTTCAAGATGCTATTTTGAATGTTGCAGTGTTCCTGACAATACCAGTATGCTATAATCACAGCCTGTCCAGATAGGAGTTTCTATAATAGGTGGAGAAGAAAACAAATACTTGCCCAAGTGTATCAAGATAGGCTACTTTAGGACTAAGAATAGAAGCTCAGATTTAAAGATATAGCCATAAATTTTGGTCGGTGACACTGCAATGTGTGTTCAAGATGCTATTTTGAATGTTGCAGTGTTCCTGACAATACCAGTATGCTATAATCACAGCCTGTCCACATAGGAGTTACTATAATAGGTGGAGAACAAAACAAATACTTGCCCAAGTACAAGGCTACTTTAGGACTAAAAGCCTGTCCAGATAGGAGTTTCTATAATAGGTGGAGAAGAAAACAAATACTTGCCCAAGTGTATCAAGATAGGCTACTTTAGGACTAAGAATAGAAGCTGTTACTTTCTTCTGTTTTACTGAATAAAACAGTGTTTTGCCATACAAACATGTTACTCTTGTGCAGGTGTGCTACCTCAAACACAGAAATTGTAGAGGTCAATTGTGATAAAAAAAGGAGAAAGCAAACTGAAGAAGCAGAAAATGAATAGTACATGCAAATTTTCTTGAAGAAAATGCAAAACCAGACATGATTATTAAATAAGAGAGATTTAAACAGGAAAAGGGCAAGAGGAAAATGAATTGGTGTATCTTTTTAGATCACTGCCCTATGGTTACAGTTGTGGACCAATAACTGCAGCTGTGCTTGATCCACGTGCACTTAAAAAGACAAATGATTAAATGAAGTAAATGAGACTCACACTGAGGAGGACTAAATAGGAGGAGTTCTAATAGATCCTTCAGATTAAAAAAAAAAAAAAGTTGAAATGCAAGAATTTCTTCATAAATCAACGTACTAATGACACACAGATGAGTTTATGAGTAAATACAGAAATAACTATGCTGTCTGATTCAGCAGCTTGTCTCTGACAGCAGCCACTACCAACCGTATCAGAGAAAGAAGCCAAATGCTTGCAGTAACTTGATAAGAAAGAATATTTTCCTTACAGTTATAGAAAGTTTATGTCATGTGGCTTGAGTCTACAGGCATTCCCAAGCTTTTATATATATGTAAAAGAACCTTCATCTGTTTTCTGACCTGGCAAGAGCTGAATGTGGCCATCTGAAGCGTTCAGCAAGACAGGCATCCAACGTTCACATCCCTCCAGAGCTCGATCAGAGCTGAACTTGTGTAACTCACGGAGTGAAGAGAAGTTGCACAGCCTACACAGTTCATAAAACTGAGGTGGAGCAAACCATATTTCTTGAGATTTAGAGCGTTCAATGGCTTCTGGAGGTGATGACCACTGTAAGATGAAAACAAGCCTTAAGATAGTCATCAGCAGGTAGAAAATATCACTCACTGAGCCATTAGCCAGAAAGTCTTTACAGAAAAAGAGCTTGCAGCAGTCCACATTTTCTGAACACAGTAAAAACCATGTATAAAGTATATGAAAATAATAACAAGGAAATTTTTAAAAATTGAAAAGTGTAAGCACTGTCTAAAAATTAGTCTTTTTCCTATACAAGTAAGTTTTTATTTTATACATAGGCATGCCAAGTTTGGAAACTGAGACTTCTTTTAAGGGCCTTGACTAACAGTCTACTGAAACAAACAGAAAACCTTGAGCTGACTTACCAGAGGTTGCTACTGATGCTTCAGGAATTAAAAGTACTTCTTAACATCTGCTTCCTATACATGTTGTTTTAGAATGTGAGCACCCAGCTTTCCATGCTTAAACACTGCATGTTTAAACTATGAGTAATCTTCATCTCACAGGGTGAATTAAGTAATATAAATGTGTTGCATAAGCATTTGTGGTAGATTTATGCAGTTATTTACAAAATTATAACAAACATGAACTTTTTTGAAGATCTCAGATGCTTTTAAATTTTTTTAACAAGATTTGTTTAAAAAAAGAAGTTGATAGTATCAAAATTGGTAGGTAAACTTCTACAGGACTGTCTGTTTTCCATCTACTTCCAACTTGCTTTCAAACTTCAGAATTCTGGAAGATGTTTCTTAATCAAGATTTTTAATAATTTCAATAATACAGTAATTCAACAAGTTTGTATGTTGCCTAAAGTATTCGAAAGACAAATATGACTAGCAGCCCTTGCAGCCCTGGGGCACTCTGCCTGCCTATGCATCTCTCTGAGCATCCTGAATGTTGAGGGTGTGATGACAATACCCCACTGATGCTGCAGCAGTGAATGGATAGAAGTGATACTTGTCATCCACCTTTGGCAGACACAGTGATTCCGGATGAAAATGATCTGATGTGACACGCGCACTGGGCCGTAAAACTTCTTGCGGCCTCTCCCGCCAGCAGTCAGAGCTGCACGGTGGGTGATGTGGGGCGGGGGCAGTTCCCGACTGAGGGGGACGCGCACAGAGCAGAGGATTGCCGCGAGGACGGGGCTCGCTTCCCTTCCTCACACCTGAGGGGAGCGTTACCAGACGACTAGAGCGCTAGGCC